GCAGGACCATCTGAGAAAGAACTGTATGAAATTAGGAAGCGGGATTACAAAAATACATCTGTGCACAGGTGTTGAGAACAGAAATAAACCAAATTTGTTATGCCTTTATTCATTGGTCAAAAAAAGAGAGCTACTTTATACCACATCCTTATAATAATATGCTGGAACGTGTTAGCAAATGACACAGCAAAACAACAAAAAAGGCTAACCACACTGTGAAGGCAGAATGCAGTATGTAAAACCAGTCATGTAACCACAGTTCTCTCCCTTCAACTGTCAAACACTGGGTTTACTAACGACACACAAAAAGATTGCTTAAAGGATATGTTTTAAGGAACTATGCAATAGGAGACCATTACTTAAAATATATAGTGTTCGGCTGCCAAGCACAGGCTATAGATATATAGATATAAATTCTTACCCTCAAACTTCACCCTTAGTTCTCTACAAGTATCACTGGTGGTGGAAAGTGCCATCAAGTCACAGGCAACTCATAATGACCCCGTAGAGGTTTCAAAGCAAAAACATTCAGAGGTGGCTTGCCATGGCCTGCCTCTCTGTAGCAACCCTGGACTTTCTTGGTGGCCTCCCATCCAAGTATTAACAAGGGCTGCCCTGCTTAGCTTGTAAGATCTGACAAGACCCTCATAAGTAGTAGTAGCTATAATGTTATCAACAATTTAACAGTTACAAAACAATTTGCATACCATTCCCAATATCTCTTTTGCATATACCCGACTACAAAATGCTGACATGTATCATGGCATGCATTAGTTGCTTCTAAGCTATTCTCAGACAAGCTCCTATCTGAATCACCTCAATCTCTCCGAATTGCACTGAATATCAGAAAATGACCCAGTGGCCCTAAAGATACCCAACAGGTATAACAAAGAGACAGAACACAATCCCAGTACCTTCCAACCCGGAATCAATCTGCACTTTGCCCTCATCCAGAACCGGAAAGGGCAAGCTGCGGAGGACAAGTATATACTGTAACAACAGGGAGTAACCACATGACTGCACTATAAACCGCAAAAACAAAACAGCTACGGTTGACTATAACAAAACTATGTATAAGGAAATTTCATAAAACGTCAGACACCATATGCTAAATTTTTCCTGCTTAATATTCTAGATCTTCTTTTGGCTGTAATGACTATCTTACCCCACTTTCTTTTTGTGAAATAGGCATCGGCACTAGGATCATTGAAGTGTCTGCTCATCATAGTCTCTCCTCCAGCATGGAAATCATATGCAAACACAAGAGCTTAAAAAGCAAACAAAAAACAGTCTAATTAGGTATGCAGTTGACGTACGTCTTCCAATATTATCAGTCATTTAAATACCAGAAGCTTACAATGCTCTCCAAATGCTTTTGTGGTGAATACTTCTCGCAACGTCACAATATTAGAGTGCTGGATTTTTTTCCACATGTCAACCAACACCATGCACTTTGTGTTAACAAGACGAAAACCTGAAAGGACAAAAAACCCACAAATTCTTCACTCAAAGGATCTCCAACTCCCCAAAAGAACTTTTCACATTGGTTCTGAAAACACAGAGCTGCCACCAACAGAGGCACACCACAACAAACTTGTTTTGTTCACCGCCTACTCTATGGATTGTTAGTTGGGCCATATTCCAGTTGTTTATTTTGAAAAGAATGATTTTGTTTGAAATCCAATTCTCGATTTATTACATAGAAAAGCACAAGCGTTTCAGGCTTAAGTATAGGTAGCATTGAAATTTTAAAAGATGACAACTTATGATTTCCCTCACCATGTATCCTCCGAAGGCAATATGGCAGATCATCTTTGCTATTTACAGCTTTGTAGCATGATGTTATGTACCCAAAGTTGCTTGTTTTCTGTATCCGATTGGGTGGTGGCAGTGGTTCTAAAGGGAAAAGGCTGTGGTAGCTGTCCACTTCCGTTGGGACAGCTAAACCAGTTTACAGAAATATATTAGACACTACTTACAATTGTAAAGAAAACAGTTATTACAGAGACAGAAGAAAATTAATTAGATGTCAAAACAATACACAACTCTTGTTTTAGAGGGCTGTCACAAAGTTAGAATTTTGTACTTATGGGTCTAATACAAATCATTTTATGGCTTTCTCACAACAAAGCCTTTTGCCTTAAGAAAGACCAAGATTGTCATTATTAAGTGTTAACATGCAAGGGTGTATTAGCTGTTTTATAGATGGAGAAACAAAGGGTGTAAGCTGATCACAGCGAAAGAAACAGTTAACAAATCTTAAAATCAGTTAGATATAAACCAAGAATAAAAGCCTGACATGCCTTTTTTGTTGATGCTTTTTGTGTTACCAGTTTATATTAAACTGTATTCACCATTGTTAGTGTCTCACAGATCTTTGATGTGCTAAATCACCATGTCAAAGACCTGAGAAGGCACAGAAGCCCCCTTACAAATAGGGCACAGTGGCCCTTTCCTTTCCTGTTTCTGGTTGCTATGCCAAAATTGTACTTTAGGAAATCCAGTTATTTTATATTAATGTAATGTGGGGTTGGATCCAGCCAGCATTTTCACTGAACTTTGCTCAATTCCCCTATCTACTACAGCCAACACCCCACAATACTTGTACATGCAACTCCAATCTTTCTCAACACACTACTTTTGGGTGGTCAGAGGAGACCTCGCCTTCCTTTTTCACCAGGGAAAAGCTGACTGAATTCAATCTCTATCCACTATAAATAAAAAGTCTAATTTTGCCCCAAATCCTGAGACAATGTAGCTATTCAATACTCTTACTTGAAAATTACATTACAGGTCATCACACTATTTGTTTTGCTTTTTAATATTAGAGGTACAGATCCCCTTTTCTATTTATGTTCATAGGAGGATTATTTGGTTTTGAAGAGCCTCCCCCCCCCCTCCGGCAACTGGCCTGTCATGTGCCATGCCATGGCCTCACTGAAGGTCAGGGGATTCCAAAGTTCCGCTATCAACAAGTAGCTGTAAAGTGCCCTGGACTGTATTCTGAGATATAGCCAATTCAACTAACAGGCCCAGAAATATTCTCTAATAGATTCAGAAAGCTTTCATGTTGACTTCAGGAACATTTAGATGAGAGGCCCATGCAACTGATTTGTCACAGTAGCTTTAAAACCAGGAGTACACGTAAGTAGCACCTGTAAAGTAGCACCCAATGATCTACTGAATCGTAGTGCAAGAAATACTGTGCAGCAGTCTTTCATCGTGACTGTGGTATCCTTACTCATTCCTCTAAAACCCAGATGGTGTTTGGACTACAAATATCAGCATAGTGACTGTGTGGCTTGGAAGACTTGGATAATTAAGTACCCCTTCCTGCAGCTTCAAAAACCTTCTGTGTGGCAATTCCTTAATGGATATGACAATTAAGTGGAAAAGCTAAAGTTAGCAAATGCATAGAAGTAATGGAAATGAAATATGCAGATACTAATATACTGCTAGATCCCCAGCACACTGTAGATGGGTTTTAAATTATGATTCAGTCCACGAAAAGTTGAAAGGTATAAAGAGAAACCCAAGCATAGGATATATGCTACTACAGAAAAATGAAAAGATGGAAGAGTTAGTAAAGAAGACAAAAATTAAAGCTTAACATTGGGGAACAATACTAATTTGTGCAGTTTCAGCCAGATCCTGAATATTTTTTCTTTAGTATAGTTTTAATAATCTTATGAATTAGTTGAATTACGTAACTGAGCAAATGAAAGGGGGGGGGAAAGCCCACCAAATTTAGAAATGCAATTAAGATTCAGGGTGTTTAGTTACTTACTAGGCATATCTGCTTGGTCTATCTGAGCCATCGTAATTAAGTGTCTGTTGATCAGCTCCTATAGGAACATATTTTGCACTCTTACAGATCAAGACATGAAAATGCAGTTTGCTTTTTCATATACACTTTGAGTCACAACATCACAGAAACAGGTCCAGGAAGGGCTTTATATACAATCCAGTCTAACCCACATAGAAGATGAAACAGCACCCCAAATATGGCTGGAAGTACCCTTAAAAATCTCTACATTTAGTCAGTCTTCCTCTCTTTGAAACCATCTAAACTAGCTCAATCAAATGTATGTGACCTGCTCTTCAAAGGCCTCCAGGGAAATTCCACAAAAATATTATAGGCAATCAGTTCCAATATTTTGCCACCCATACCATCTGAAAGTTCTCCCTAGAAATAGGACTAGAGACTTCTGCCTACAGTCTGAGCTCATTATTTCTTGTCCTCATACTTTATGGCGAAGACAGCCCTCACGTAACAATACTGGAGGCCCCACTCAATCCTTTCTTCTCAATGACACCTTGGTTCAGTCTTTAGACACGTAACTTTTATGAGAACACTACCGATTTTTGATGCTGTTCTTCCCAACTTTTTTACTATTCTCGAAATGAGCTGAATACAGTATTTCAAAAGCCATACCAAAGCACAGGATGGTGCAGAGAATCACCCCTTATTCCTCCCTTTGTAATAGCTTTATTAATATATTCTAGTATGGTTGATGGTTTCCTCACCATGCTGGATTGCCAAGATGTATTCAGCTTGACTTCAGTTAGAAGCCTTAGTCCTTTTTCCACACTACTATCTGCTAAAAAGACACTCCTTGGGTAACAATTTTTTCCTACGAAATACAGGACTTGCATTGTTAAAAGTTATGAATAATAAATATTCCAGTCTTCCCAAGACTGGATGTGATACGTCCACATTTACATGAAGCTGGGCATTAGGGAAAGCAATTTCAATTTAAAAAGTGAGTCATGGAACACAACCGCAATTATGCAGGTGTATCACAGCAACAAACAAATACACCTGGCATCCCACTCTAAAGATAATCAGTTATGCAGAATATGACAAGTCAAGGGGATGAGTTGCCATAACCAGTATTGTTCCCACCATGGGTTTCAATTATTCATCTCAAGGCAGAGACCCACAACAGATATATTTGTTGTAAATTAATTCATCATAAGAACCTAAGAACATAAGAGAAGTTAATGTTGGATCAGGCCAATGGCCCATCCAGTCCAACATTCTGTCACACAGTGGCCAAAAATACCAGGTGCGCATTTGCTCTTTGTCACCATGTAGCCAGGAATCCTTTTAAAAGGGCATGTAAAAGTGAAGAACTGCAAGGCATGGTAAGCCCACTGGCTAGAGTGGGTTCTGCACAGATTTATACCTCCCAAAAGACAGATTGGTGGGAATAAGCCCAGAGGTACTTTCATAACCAAATCTCTCTGTAAAAAAATACTACTGTAGCCCTGTATGTATAATTTTATATTCACATTTCTTTTCAGATTGAAGACTCAACAGATGATTGAAATCCACGTAATGTTGTGAGCAAAAGATGTATGAACTTCTACATGTTTCAACATGTTTCTCTCAATACACTGACTAAGAAAGAGCATGCAGTAAGTATATCAAGGTACATCAGGCTGTTTAGTCTGTGTTACAGAGTACTCCAGATTTAAATGCGCATAATAGCATATGCATCTGTTTAAAACAGTCATTTCAGTTTTAACACATCTATTGCACCCATTAATGTGTCTTACCTACTTCCTCAGAAATGCATATCATTGTTTTAATGATTCGGTGCTGTACACCACTTTGTGAATTCTTTGAATAGAAAAGCAGTATAGAGTTGTTATAAATAAAACAACTAAATCAGTTACAATTATTTTGTACCATACAATAACATACCTGTCTAAGTTCATCTGCCATAAAGAAGGAAGGTGCATTTGCTTTTGGCTGCATGTAAGCAACATGAGGTGCAGTTGGAGGATAGATGTGATAGTTTGGGAATACCTAGTGAAAACCAAAATTGGGGGGGGGGGAACACTCTTCAGAAAATGAAAAGTTTAGAGTAATCAAATATTTTTAAAAGTCCTTTGAAGTACTACTACAATAGAACAGAGCTGCTGGGCACTAGACTTGAGAGGGTGCGTTTGAGACTTGCTTCTTCTTTTGGATTGCTGATTCCAACTAATTCACCTATAAATAGGAGTCCAGGACATCAGGCTAAGGAACAAAGTTTGAGTCCAGTGGCACCATTAAGGCCAACAAAGTTTTATTCAAGGTGTGAGCTTTCATACACATGCACACTTCCTCAGACACATTGAAATGGAAGTTATCAGTCCATGCATATAGAGGGTGAACAGCAAATTAGCATATAACATAATAAAGTTGTTTTTAACAGATCTAAGAATCAAACACGAATAACAAGCTAAGTTTATATGGTCCCAGTTTGTTTAGATTCAATTGGGGGGGGGACACAAATAAATATGTCAAAATTGGACAGTGATGGGACAGGATTGGACAGGAAGGAATTGTATCCTTCCTAAGAGTAATCAACTGAGACCCTAGATGATGGAACAGGGAAATCACTTAAATCATAAACTCTTTGTTGCCTTAACCTTTTGAAAGACTTGACTGGCATCACTTTTTTCCTGTTACCAATAGCTCCTAAACCTTGATGTCAGTTCTTAAATTATGTTTAATGGATTATCTTCCCAGTGCTAAGCAAGCTGACTACAGATAGTAGGCATGTAATTGGGGTAATCATGCATGTAACTATGATAAATGTTAATGTGAATGTTTAAGATCAAAATAAGTTAATTTGTAAAATTTTATACTGCATTTTCTACCTTATTCTAAGCAGACTTGATTTGTTCCACTGAACCAGTGTACCTTTCCACCATAGGCAACTGGGTTAAATGAAACCCAGCTCCACAGTGATTCCAGAGCAGAGTTCCTTCATCATCCCATCCCACAATCTCCCCTTTCGGGTGTAATTTGTGTGAGGGGGGGGGGCAGGGGACAAAAAAATTAAAAACCCAAGTTTGCAATTCTGGAAGGAAGGAAGTTTGTATGGAAAGTATGCAAACAGCATCCTCACTGGAAGATAAAACAAGATAACACATGACAACAGTCCAAATGCACAATGGAGTCACAGTGTACCTGAACAAATTATGAGCATATTCATCTTAAGCATGCAATCACTACTCCTGTGTAAAACAACTAAAGTGGCAGGCTACTCAAATCACTTAAGGAACCAGCCATGCTATATTGTTAGTTACACTAATGGCTATAACTGTTCATTGACTCATCAGGGGGTGTATGCTTCTTTCTCTACAGGTCAACATCCCTGAAAACCCCCAAAAAACAACAGATCAGAGGGTCCTCCCCAAGCTGCTCTTTCCAGCAACAAGGGAGAAGAATACTTCGGAAAGGAGAGAACACATCTTCTCTGTCTCTTTAAGCTGTGCACAAGCAATTTACATTAAATTTGGGGAAAGGGTGGAACAAGTTCTGACTAACATCCCACATTACAGTGTTGGATAATGATGCAAAAAAAAAACTATTGTTTGCACCTGGCAGACATCCTCATCGTAAGACTAAAATCTTACCATTCCAGTTAGAGGTGCTGGAGTTGTGTCAGTATAGAAATAGGTTGTGCCTCCCACAGTTTCCTTCTGAATCACCTGACCAGTAGCTGGGGGCTGGGAGACAGCATTAGTCACAGGCGTAGAGGCACTAGTAGGCACCATATAATTTGCTGGGTTTGGTGTGTGACTTCTTCGTCTAGGAGCAGGAGACGTGTGAGGAGTAATCTTAGGGGAATGAAGAGGAGAAGATCCTGCTGACAGTGACATTCCTTAGGAAAAGGAAAGAGAAAAAAGACTTAAGTGGTAAAAAGGCATTTGTTCTTATGAACACCAAGGCTTGAAAAACAATTCATTACCTTGCAGATACAGACAAGCTGATTTTTGCACGGTTCAACTAAAAATGGATGCACATATAACTATTACCAGAGATTTAGTTCAAATAAAATATATCCATAAATATAGCAATTGTCAGAGAAAACAGCAGAATAGATATTGTACCATGTCTACCAATCATCAGCACTGTGTTTTAGTACCTGTAAGTTCTTCAAGTCATAACTCTCTACCTAGCTGTGGCACAGAAGTTCAAGAGAGTTGTGGACAGTTGCCAATATCTTTTTGTATTTTTAGAAGGTAAAAGATCCTTCAAGCTAGAGCCAAACTACACTTTATGGAAGACATGGGTCCAACCCATGGCCACAAACACCATTTCAGAGGAAAATTTAGCCACTGAAAAAATTGCTGTAAGGGACACCCCCCCCCAACCGCACAGCAGCAAGAAGCAAATTTTTTTGGTCCCTCACACCTTTGAAAGTGCCAAAACAGTCCTCACACACCTTTTAATGCTTAAAAAGGTGTGGAGGAGACAAGATGGCCTGGTGGTGCCACCATCAGGCCCTTATGGCAATTTTTAAACAGCCAAATTTTCCTCTAAAAGGGCATTGACAGGCACAGGTTGGACCCTTGTCCATCATAATGTGTAATTTGGCCCCTCGTTCACATAAGACATGTTGATTCTGGGAAGTCAAATATGATGGTGTAAGTTCTAGTCAGGAACATATTATATGTTCCCCCAAGGGCACTATGGTCAGGGGGGCAACATCTGTTGGTTATCCCAGCCCCCAAGGTAGTTAAATATGCTGCAACCAGGGCCAGGGCTTTTTCGGTGGTGGCCCCTACCCGGTGGAACGAGCTCTCGGAGATCAGGGCCCTGCAGGACCTTATGCAGTTCCGCAGGGCCTGTAAGACGGAGCTCTTCCACCAGGCTTTCAAGTAGGGGCTGCCACCGCCATTGTACCACCACCATATTAACATCATGAGGCGCACCAGCCCTGGTATGGGGATGACAGTTATAGTGAACATCAACTGAGCAGAGACAATTGTGTTTACTCGGAGTGTGTTATTGTTATTGGCATTTTATTATGGAATTGATATGGTCTGTTGAGCACCGACTTTTAACTGTTTTATAGTTAATGATTGTTTATTCTTTTATTGTTTTATGTATGGCATTTGCCTCTATGTTCGCCGCCCTGAGCCCATGTTGGAAGGGCGGGATACAAATTTAATAAATAAATAAATAAAACTAAAGACATTATAAAACCAAAGTCATTAAGAATTAATATCAATCAAGATTACCTGATGATCCAGTTGCAACTATCTTTCTGAATGATTTAAAGAGCAATACTGAAAATGGTGACATGGAATTTGTAACAACTGAATCCAACAAATTTGTTGACAACTGGGTTCTCTTAGTACTGGAACAATGTGACTATTTTTGTTATTTTCCCTACTGTAAAACTGAAATGTTTACTGTAATTGTGGTATTGTAAATGCATGTTAACGGAAAACACATCCCACCTATATAATGGCTAGAACGCAAAGTACCTACATAGGCTTTACAGCTCCCCTTTACAGCAGCAGCTGCTTGCGCCCTCCCGCAACATTTCCTCCCAAATAAACTGTCCAGAGTGACATCTCATGAGGTGCAAAAGGCTTCTAGTAAGAGGGGGAAACTGACACAACCCCATCTACTCGGTCCTTCTCATAATTTTATGATAGGCATATCTAGTCTTTGTCTCGCATGCAAGAACAGAGTACATGCGTTGAACGCAGAAGATCTCACAATAAATCTCTGGGGGCAACTCCCAAGAGAGTGGATCTCAAGTAACAGGGCTAAGACTCATGCCTCATCTTGAAGAATCACTACAGTCAGTGTAGGCTGTACTGGGATAGGTGTATGAGAAGTCTGAGTCAGTATAAGATTTAACTATGTCTGCTCATGTGTGCTTTAATTACATGGCACTCCAGCTCCAGAAAATATTATTCCTTTCATGCTGATGAATGTGACTGTTCAAACTAGGACAATCTAAATCTTACACACGGCTAAAATCTCAACAGAAATCTTTAAGAAACTGGGATTTGAAACATGAATTTTTACACACCAGCATGTTTCAAGCTCTTATTGCTGGTGCTAGTCAAATATTTTTTCCTCATGTTCTCCATAACCATGAGTTCTAAACATGCATTTTACTAAGAGATAACTATTCAGGAATGCTAAAGTTCACTGCTGTTGTCACTTTTCTTCAAACTGTTGTTTTACTGTATTCACTGAATCCCTATTATTTGATTTGAGATCTGTGTTTAAAACTGCTATACAAATACTATAGATTTCCTCCCCCAAAAAATGAAGGGTGGGGATTCAGAAAATTCTAAAGTCACCTGATGGCCAAGTCATGAGTTGACTGTATGAAGGGATCCGAGACCCCCTCTTACAGCTGACTCAAGGAATATAGTTTGCCTTTAAAGTATTTGCATATAACTGATCCAAGAATGTCAGAGTGGCTATCACCACCAGATACAGTACTTCACAAAATTTGCATAAGATTATATTAAAGTATAACTTTGATCCCAGCTTGCCAATAATTTTGTCCATCAGATATGATCAAGCATTCCATGTTACAATTATTTACTGGAGAATATTCTGCACTCTTTCATGTACAATGACAGTTTTTATAGGACATATACTTTTTTAAAAAAAATCATGATTTTGTGATATTATGGATTTTTATCTACAAAAGTGATAGAGTTTAAACACACTTATCTGGAAAATAAGTTCTACTGAAATCAAGTGAGACTGAAGCTCATGCATACGATACCGATAACAGTCCAGCAAGCCACCCAACTAGTTTCACCCACCCAAAGGGATTCTGAAGCAGTATTCCCCCTCCCCTAACAATTCAAACATGGCTAATAACTAAGAGGGAAAGCGAGTACATGAAATAGCATGGGAATGTACTTTTCAATGTGAAAATAGTCAGTTTGATCTGTGAACCATGTGCTAAATTCAGATTTGCCAGAAATTCTGCCAGAGGCATTAATTCTGGACAGAAGACTTCTCATCTCATGTCAGGGTTTCCAGATATGGGAGGTATCTGCCCCCTCAGTCTGCAGGTTGAAATGTCTTCTAACCAGAATTAACCATTTCTTTACCCATAAGAAAGTCTGGCAATGGACCAGCTAACCATTCTTATCTCTTCCTGATATTCTGCTCAACTTTTGTTAGTTTCATTGATAGTTACTGTTGATTACTGCAGTGCTTTGCTTGCTTCTTTTAACATTTGTATTTTAGCTGTAATTTATTTCATAGCATCTTAAAAGCCTTGTGGGGTCAGAAGACAGTAAATAAACCTATATAAAATCCTCTTAAGTGCTAATTGAAACAGCAGGTTGGGGGGGGGGCTTAAAGAAAGAATACAGGTGACAAGAGTCTAAAACACAAGAGTATGAATCCTTCTTTAACGTATTCCTTCTTCAATTTCTTTTTTTTTCATACTAATGTAAGCAGTGGGGAAAAAGCTAATATTCAAATAAACTTCTTTAGGATTCCTGCTTGAGCATAAATTATTGTCAAAAATATAACAGGAATCATGTGGCACCTTAAAGACTAACAAATTTTATTCCATCATAAGCTTCCATTGACTATTGCCCACCTCTTCATCTGCAATACGCTGATCATCACTGTGCTACCATTTTCCCAGAAATACACATAGCTCAGCAGGGTCCAAAAACCATGACATACAGGAAATACAGAATGAAATGTAATTATATAAAACTCTAATCTAATCAAGAAAAATATGTACCATCCATTAGTTATGCTCAACACCTGCACTGGGTAGGGAGTCTCAAATTTTCCTATGATACTTAACTCACTGTGAGATAATAATCTCAAATTTCTATCCAACCGGGGAGGGGAGCATGAAACCTTCTTAAAAACTCCAGCTTGGCTGTTTCATACTGGAGTCTCCCTTTCAAACTCTTTTGTTGAAGAACAGCAACTTTCTGCTCAGCACCATGGGGTCCTTGGAGACTAAGATGTTCTCTCACAGCCATCTGAAGATTGTGAGTTTGAATATTATATTTGTGTATGTAGGGGCTCATCTATTTTTCCTACGTAGAGAACCAGAAGCACACTGCTGACGAAGGCAAATATCACACTGGATGAGCCCAAGGTGGTATAGCTGATGTAATCGTTCTGCCTGAGCATATATGGGGACAAAGCTGGCATGCTGGTTTGTTGCAGGGTCTGGTCCCTGGGTTTGTCTCTCTGTTGGGTGGCACATTGTTATCATTAAGAAGCTGTTTTAGATTAAGAAACCATCAGTAAGCAAGGGAAGACCTGCCAACCAAGACCTGTGAGAAAAATATCCAAGATGCATTGCAGATCTCCAATGATGCACTGGATTGTCTTGTGCTGGATGCAGCAACTGACACACAATGGAACAATGGCTCCATAGCACTGAATGGTGATTGTGGTAAATCAACTGAACTGTCTTCAAAATCTCACTGAAAGTAAGCCTCCTTAAAAATACTGACATAATTATTTGCCTAAACTATTCCTGCATTGGGCAGGTTGCCTAAAACAGGCCTGGATTGGGCAGGGGACTGGACTAGATGGTCTGTATGGCTCCTTCCAACTGTATGATTCTAAGATTCTAAAGCTTACAACTGAGAAGAGCACTAGGAGATGAGGGGACTGCAAAGTCCTCTATTCAGGGTGTGAGGTAGCAATTTAACACCATGAAAAATGGGATACCACTTCTGGAAATTCAGAAATCCTCTTCAATCACTATCACCTCACCAAGAGAACCTTGGAAACTGGGAGTTTTGCAAGTAGGCTACATGTGTACAAAAACAGGTTAACAACTACTACATGGAAACAAAAAATTTATTACAGAATTTGTACTTCCCATGTGACAGAGAAACTGAAAGAGAATAATCAGTTAAACTGTCAAATACAGCACCTTAATCAAACACTCTACCGTTGTTTCTAAAACTATTGGCTAAAACCCACCATGCTCATTCAGTGTTTGGGAATTGTTCTACAACCTTAATCTTTTTTCAGCACTCTTTTCACATTTCTGACCTGTTTATTAAACTACCCAAGATTTTAATCTGAGATCGCGAGCACGCACGCGAGAGACAGCGCATCCTGCGTATATGTAGCATTCTGCTCCATCAGGTGGCTCACCTTTTCCCCCATGCTGCCCCTAATGCCTGCAAGTTTTATTCCTGAACAGTTATGTTAGGTCATATTCCTCCCTTGGATGCCCTGCCCCTACTGATCCTTTTGACAGTTTGCCTGGCCAATTGTCAGTGGCCCCTTCCTCTCAGACCCAATCAGATGTGCTTTCCGTCCACTTCTGCAGGATGACGGACAAGGCCCTTGCATTGAGTAGCACAGGGAACAATATTAATCCCATTTGGTTAGACCATAAAAGTGTTTTATTCTTTTTGGTTTAAGATGTCTCATGAGCTTCTTTTAATATGGAGAATCTTAAACAACTGAACACATTTTTTTTGTGTCTGTCCCCAACTCTCTTCCATCCCTTTGTCATCTTCCTTGTTTCTCGTAAGCTCCTTGAGGCAGTGACCTCTGTTTTGGTACTCTGTAAGACCCTATATGCACACTGAAGTCATTACATTAAATATCTACTCTGAATTCAATGTTATTAATCCTTTCCAAGAGCCCTGTTTGCATACAGTCCAGACTTTGATTTATTAGGCATTCAAATATATTCACTGTTTTCTTACCTGAATACTATTTTTAATCTTTCAAACTGTGATAAAAAGATATGTCCCAAATTGCTTGTTTTTAAAACCTCCAAGGCACTCCTTGTACGTCAGCCTTTTGCAGAGAACACATTTTAAATGATAGTATTAAATATTTTAGATTTAAATATTCTGAAGGTAAATTTACAAAAAGAACTCTTAACAAATGACTCCAAACTGAAATTACTATAGGTCAAGTAACACTGATACACACCCATTTGCTCAATTAAGTGTACTTTTCTTTCTACAACCAAAATTTAACAAAAATTAAGAGCATTCTTACTCTTTACATAAGCTTACACTATCCTCCCACAATTTGGCAACTCGAAGCAGCAACAGGAAACAGTTATTGCTGTCAGATTTAAGAGAGGTGTGCTGTGGTCTGCAATGTTTAGGCACCAACTTGACTATGAACAATAATACAAGTATTTTGCAAATTTATCAAAGATCAGCTGCAAGATGTTGTAACGTCACTAGTTACACAAAATACACATGAAAGCTTATACCCAGAACTAAACTCTGTTGGTCGTAAAGGTGCCACTGGACGCAAACTTTGTTCTATTGCTTCAGATCAACATGGCTACCCACCTGAATCGATTTTCACTAGTTACTGTTACTCTAAGCTTACCTGGAGCTAGTCCAGCATTTGCAGGACCTCCCATGGAAGGATGAGAGAACAAGGCTTGAGAGAAGGCAGATATATTTGACTGTGACATGTTACCAAGTCGGGAGGTCGACCCTCCTTTAGGAATAAACTCACTTGCAGCTGGATTTGGTGTCTGTTTGAAAATGAAAAAAGTATGTTTAAATTTTTTTAAATATAGGAATATCTAACTACTTAGTTAATTGTTTTAAGACTTAAGACCTCTGTAGTAGGTCTGAAAAAACTAGATAGGTCATGAAATAAATATGGCTGAGAAAATCACTTGTGTGAATTCAGACCCATTTCTATAGCCTGGCCCCTCTCACCCAATAGGTTCTTCCCTCAACACAGAGCCTTGTACTAGGCAGGTCCCGCCTATGTCATTCAAGGGTGGCCACCATAACGTATAAGAGCTCATGAGGATGGGCTAGAGATGGACAAAGGAAGAGTGATGCCAGATTAACAGGTTACGTGGCATTGCTGTAATATGGAAATGGGGGCAGACTGATTTGCCTGATGATGTTCTTCACAGTCAGAGGATAAATATTCAAATATTTTATTTCAAATTATTGTTATCATCATTAAAAACCACACACACAAACTCACACACAAAAATGTAATATGATCAAGTGTGTTAAAGGAAGCCTGCAGTGGATCCTAAACACAATACATTCAAAAATTCAAACCAAAGATCACAGCAACATACTATTTTAGATAGCAGAGGAGCAAATCATTGAGAGCAAAATCACCCATATTCCTTGCGATGTAGATTCCATAGTCAATGCAGCTGTTGCTAATATTCTGGAGGCTTCTGCTGGTCCTCTTTCTATACTTTCCAGCTTGTTTCAACCAAGTATATGGATAGTACCTTGAGCTTACTATCTACCCTTGCCTCTTTTTTTCTCTTTTCTTTTTTTTTTGCGCATAAATTCTGACAATATGGGGAGGAATCAATTCCTGGAGCAGACTATAAGTGCCCTTCTATAAGAGAGGTCCTTTCCACTTCCACTAAAGAAAGTGGTTATTAAACCTTTACTAAAGGAGACTCCTGGGATGTTACCTTCTGCTCAGTATCAAATGCCCTTCCTGGGCAAGGTGGCTTCAGAGCTTTCTGCATGTAACAGATTGTCTAGATCCCTATGAATCTGGTTTCCATTCCAGTTATGGGACTGAAACTGCCTTGTTTGCTCTGTTTGATGATGTATGCCAGGTGGCCAATAGAGACTTTCAATACTATCAGCCATATTATCTTTCTGGGATGACTGGCTGGAATGGAGCAATGTTTTGCATTATCTCCCATCATATATATTTCAGAGATCCTGGAAGACAGATCTAAGTAACTACTGCTCTTTCCCCTTGGATTATGGGGTACTGCAGTTCCCTGGTGTCCCCTATACTCTAATACCTACTTGGAACTACTGGGTGAAGGTATCTAGAAATTGATAGCAAGTGCACTAATATGCTGATTATTTTAGTTTTAATGTTATTTTTAGGAATTGTTCTATTTCTCCTTATAAGCCAACCAGATGCTTTAAGCAGAATGTTGGGATATAAGTTTCAAAAATAAAGTCATTTTGCTAATAAGGCCCACATGCATCTGAATGCTTACCTGAAGCTAAATGTGTTTTCCACATAGTGACAAGATTCTGTAGTTTTCCCATTGTTGCTGCAGCTGCTGATACAGTGCCATTGGGCTTCCATGCATCAGGTCCCCCTCCTAGTTTCCCTGCCCACTCCCATGAGAGTGGCCATCCCTATGCCCCATGTGCCAACCAGAGCTTGTCCTGTTTTCCCCCAAACCAGCAGTTGAATATCACTGAAACGACCCGTGTGTCAGGTTCCCTGAATTCCCCACTTTGTAAAGAGTCTCTTGCCTCTTTTGCTGTGGAGATATGCCTTTCCCCTTATATCTGTGTAACGAAAGAAGCTACAGACTTTTTATATGAAAGTTGGAAATTCAGAGAACCTGACACACAGATTGGTATACTGTTATAATGATATTCAATCAGCAGGAGGAGGGAATGGCTGCAGCTGGGACAGGGAAAACGGCAGCTGTGTGGAAATCTGAACTTTCACACCACCATGGCAGCTATCCAGGCTTTGCTAACATCTTTCTCAAAATTTTGCAGTGAAGGAAAGTTGGGAAAAATCAGGGAACAGCTGGGGAAACCATGGGAGATGCACAAATATACCACAATCCTGTGGGAAAGAAGGAAAGGGGCGGGGGGGGGGGGGAACACCTTCCAATAGCATCAAACCCGGGCAAATAACCTGTGTGGAAATGGCATCTAATATATCCTAGCTCTTCTGAGAACTTCCAAAGATTTAAGAAAAACAATTTTGTGACATTATAAAAACAAAACACATTTACTGTGGCATGAACATTTGTGAATGACACATTTATTGTACCACAAAGCTTATGCCACAATAAATGTCAATCTTCACCACAAGACTTATAATGCAACAGACAACCAACCCACTCTGGAATTTGGTTCAAAAGCCTGTTTATTCCACGTCATCCCATAAATTATCCATTCTCCCTTCCATTCTTTTTTTAGGCTCATACTGACAAATAGCTACAATATAATGTACTAATAGATTAAAATCTACTGTAATTTTAGGGGTACAAATTGAAAGTATAAATAAATAAATAAATAAACCAGTGGTTTGGATACCAGCTATAATTTCCATCCACAGATGTGCAACTTCCTCGCCTCCCTGCTCTTGCTGCAGCATGGAATGCCCTAAGAGAGCCTGGGGGATGGGGGAGATCCTCAACAGTAGCGCGGGGGGTGGGGGGGTGTCTGCTGCAAGAAGAGGCAGTCTGTGAAAATCACCCACCTATCCCTGCATGGGTGAAAACTTTAGGCAGGATCCAACCCAATATCTAACAAACTTCTCCGCTGTATTTTTTTTTAAAAAAGGACAAAGCAAGACAGGCCAGTTTTTATATAAATACATTTCAAACCTATTTCCAAGATCAGGAAGAACATCAGTTCAAAAAGCTGACTAGGTCTCTGACAAACTGAAGTAGTGCAGTACAGACACCACAGCCTGCCAAAGTCAAAGTCAGGAACCGCCAATATTCATTGGAGCTACCAGTAAATCAAGCCAGCAGTAGCTATCTCCAAGTACAAAAGGACACGAGTTTTACTACCTACAACTGACAAAGAAAAAAGGCATCAACACACACCCCTTTGAGAATCTAATATAGGGATGCTGACTCAACTAGTACAGAAACAAAAAAACATGGAAAAACCACTCAATCACTTATATTCATGAAGTTTTCATTGGCCTAATATCAGTCAAGATATCATCCCGCCCAAAACAGCAAAACAGCTTACATTAAGAAAACAGTAACTAACCTGGAATAAAAAAAACCACAAAAGGTTCAACAAGGACCACTGCAATCACATCATGAATGATTAGGCCATAACTGAATCTCAGCAACCATGAAGATTAATTTTAATTTCCTCTATCACACCAAAATATTGGATGCAGTGAAATACTCAAGCAATGCCCACAGACTTTTGCAATCTACATATACACAAGCTGGTCTGAAGGCAGTGGGTTATTTCACTGGCCACATTGCCCCTTGACTGGTGGCCATGGCAGGTGGAGAAGGTATATGGACAGGAGGAAAAGACTGGCAAGCCAAGCCAGCCAATACGGTATGCATGGCTGGAAGAGCAACATCAGCTTGAGAGTCTCCTGTTCTACAGCACTTTTGGGGGGAGGGGGGATATAAGAGGAGAAGAAGAGATTGGATTTATACTCCGCCCTGCACTACTTGAAGGAGTCTCAGAGCGGCTTACAAACTCCTTTCCCTTCCTCTCCCCACAACAGACACCCTGTGAGGTAGGTGGGGCTGAGAGAGCTCTGACAGAAACTGCTCTTTTTCAAGAACACCTCTGACATAACTATGGCTTGCCCAAGGTCATCCAGCAGGTGCAAGTAGAGGAGTGGGGAATGAAACCCAGTTCTCCCAAGTTAGAGTCTGTGCACTTAACCACTACATCAAATTTTTGTATTTCTGCTTTTTACATTCAATCAATTTAACACCATGAAAAATGGGTCACTGGAGGTATGAGGGGAGGTAGTTGTGAATTTCCCGCATTGTGCAGGGGGTTGGAATAGATGACCCTGGGTGACCCTTCCAATTCTATGATTCTATAGATCTTTTAAACAACTAGTGTCCATTTGTCTTTTCCCCAGAGTTACTGGTACAATATTACAGGTCATCTGTAGCTATAACAGGATTGGGACTTCCCCCCATATTTTACACCAGTTATACACACACACTATTTCAGCTTGCAGTCTCTCCCTCACATCTACCCTTCCTCCACATCTGCTATGCCAAAAGATGAGAGAACAACATGTACACAAGCTTCTGTTATGCAGGTCAATTCTGTACTTCTATGGAAATTACAAGTTACACATTATAAATTTAGTTCTGTAAAAAATAACTATACATGATGCATGAGAACCGAATTAATCACGGTAAGCCAATAAAATCCATACATGCAGGAAAGACATAACCAAAGGAGGATGGTTGGGAATGTCTGTGATAGCGGAGTGATATCTGGGCTGAGCTATTTCCTCTCATGTTACAGGTATTTAAGCCTGGCTGTGGCCAAAGGCATGAGCCTTTGACATAGGCTGAAGGGCAAGCACCAATGGACTTGAGGCTTGCAGACTGTGGCCCGGAATAAGCCAGGCCAGTGGAGCCAGAGCCTCTCTAGGATGTAGGACTACTGTAATTTTTGTGGTTGTTTAAATTATATTTTTTGTGTTTATTTTGTAGGCTGATTGGAGTCCTAGTGTGGGAGAAAAATGGGGTTAAAAATAAAGTCTGTCTTCATGCAACAGCAAACTGTCTGATAAATCACTAACAATGCAAAATACAGCAATTCTTTATAAAAGTAAAATTTTCAGTTTCCACAAAATTAGTACATCTGATTAAAGAATTCCATTTTCCCCTTCATCTTATTCAGCGCGCACACACACAAAATAAAACCTTAAGGCTTCATCTAATGGCCAGCACAGTCTGTATGACTCCTCTCTTCATACTCCGTTTCTCCAGATGCTGAGCGTTCCCACCTCATCTTCCGTGCAGTCCTCCAATCCAGAGGGCTTTTTGTCTCCAGTCACTATTTTTCCAGGGGTAAAAAGGGAGTGCTATATGAAAGGGGACTCCGACCTGCATAGCCCAGACTACCCTGATCTTGTCAGATCTCGAAAGCTAAGCAGGGTTGGCCCTGGCTAGTATTTGGATGGGAGACCTCCACAGAATACCAGGGTCATGACACAGAGGCAGGCAATGGCAAACCACCTCTGAACATCTCTTGCCATGGAAACCCTACGGGGTCACCATAAGTCAGCTTCGACAGCAAAAACAATGACATGTGAAAGGTGAATGTGGCCAAAGTCTGTGCTTGCTCGTTCCTTATACTGAGGACCAATGAATTGTATTTTATATATATTAAATAATTTTAGTGCTTTGAAACAACTACATCCACACTCTATCAGTCCAAGTATATGGACAGAAACCCGGACTACCCAACAGAAAAGCACACTTGTGGGCTCATTTGAGAAAAAGCCTGGAGTGTACCAGTATCCCCATAAGGAAGCATGCAAAACCCTTGCACATGTGCCACCCTTCTCTGGATTGAGACCACGGTTCATCTACCCCTCCTCCAAATCCCTATGTTAGTCAGGGTACAATTCATCCTCTTTATTTGTACGCCATCATCAAATGGGAAGCAGAGGTCCATCAGTGGCTATTAGCCACAAGGTATAGATAGGGGCTCTGGGGCAAGTGATGCTCTGTCTTCTTGGTGCTTGGGGGGGGGGTGTCAACAGAGGGAGGGCTTCTAATGTCCTGGCCCCACTGGTGGACCTCCTGATGGCACCTGGTATTTCTGGCCACTGTGTGACACAGAGTGTTGGACTGGATGGGCCTTTGGCCTGATCCAACATTCGCTTCTCTTATGTTCTTAAGCTACCTGCAGAGGACATACTCTGACTTCAAATGGCATTCAAATGAAATAAGGCCATTCCATCCAACCCAGAAAACTGCCAAACCACCACTATATAGCTGTTAAGAAAAAAGTTATTCTCTGCATTCTTGAACAACAACACAACTAGAACCACATTTATGCCAACTCTCTAGCAATGTAAGAAAAAACCAAAATAAAAATAAAGTATCCATGCTATTTGTTCTTTCATTTTTTTATGACAATGATAAACACGGGTTATTTTCCTTCACACTCCCTGCCACCGGATTGGAGATTTTCACACTCAGGACTTTTGTCCTGTCCTTTATACCCGCTTCATTTGCTGTATTAGCTTCCTGTGCTATTCAGAACTGCAGAAGAAAGAATGAACTTTTTGAAACAGTACAGACTGCAGTGAAGGCAAAAAGGGCTTATTCCTTCCTTTTACTCCAGAGGTCCCCACCACAAGGTTCAACATCCTGGGATGCTTCTTCACTTCTGTAGTGTAAGAAAAGACTAAAACTATGTACCAAACCAAATTGATATACACCTAAGACTACTCAGAAAATCAAATAAAAATTCATGCCACTGTGTGAACAATTTCATCCTCTGTTTATACCTTTCTACATCTAGAGAACTAGTTTTCCCACTCCCAATCTAGTTCAACTATAAAAGGTAAGTATTCATTTAATTCTTTAACACAGGATTGGGGAGACACATTAGCAAGGTTACCGCCTGCAGTAACACCACACTATTTTATTGGAAAACTTATTTCTTTATTTATGTTCCTTTTTCCTGGGTTGTGGTATATTAGTATTAAGTTACCAGAGCTTAGCACAGCCACACCATTTTAAAGTTGTATTTTCTACTTTAACTGAACAGACTACTTAGCAGTTTCTCTCTTGAATATTTAATAACCAATGTTATTCTTTCCCTTTTCCCTTAATTAGCTTCAGCTTGTAACATTTTTTAAATTTATTATTCTCACTACTACAGAAATTAACTGAAGGCAAAAGGTGGATCCAGACTAAATTTCCCACACACAAAAAGGGTGGTGTAATTTCCCCCAATTTTTTTCTTCTTGCTGCTGCGAACACCTGATTTGCCTCTCATGCTACTTCTGCGGGTCCTCCGTCCTCCAGGAGCAGTGCTTTGGGGAGATCAGTGGTAGTGGAGAGGAGGCAGGAACCTTCTGTTCCACTGACACAACAGCATTGCATTAGAGGAAAATCTAATCTGGATCAAACCCATATCAAATTAGCTGAGAAATGTGTACTACCAGACACTTTGCATGTCATTCATTTCTTTTACTTGTGAAATTGTGAACAGCTACCAGCCCCTAAACATATCTGATCTGAGCAGTTTCCAAAAATAAAATAGTAGTCAAAATATTCAAAGTGACTAGGAAAGAGTAATTTTACCTGTAAATTGTTTTCTGTGACTCTGTTCCACCAAACCATATTGATGGGTACTCCTGTTTTACACCTGTCAGCCAGGCAGCCAATAGGATTCTTTGATTTCCGTGCCTTTGATCCCACCGGAACTATCCTCTCCTCCAGCATCCCCAGTCGATACTTTCTTGGCTATGGAAAAGAAGGAAAAAAACCAGGGCACTCCCAACATCCCTTAATCTGAAACTCAAAACTAAAGCTAGATGAGATAATATATCTCTGGTTGACTTCTGGATTGGTGGAATAGGAAACAATTTGCAAGTAAAATTCCTGAGACTGTTCCCTTCAATCCCAATTTACCATGCCTTGGAATAGAAAACTCTGTACATGCCAACAATCAGAACTAGCATACCTGCCCTGCCATGTGTGGCATTTTGTTAGTGGGGGAAAGCTCCCTAAATTTGTTCCAAAATAGAAAAAGAAGGTTTTGGGATGTGGACTATCAGGCAAGTTAGAAGTTTTCCCATCATTCATGTACCTTCAATCCTGCCAGGAAGGATACCAGACTTACACTCTTTGAAAGTATGAACAGACTTCCAGAAGTCAAGAAGGATTTGATCTTGGTAACAAATGTTCAGACCAAACCAAAAGTCCTTAAGTCTTTAAACCACAGCACATTAGAGTTTCAAAACCAGATTTTGAAATCAATGAGCAGGCCACAACAGAGCATCTGTTCAAGTTAATAATATGTTGGCAGGGGACAGCTATCCCTAGAATAGAAATAGAAAGAGAGCTCATTCCAAATAAAGTCAAACAATATCCCACTGTAACAGATTCTATCAGTTTATGGGTGCTAGTGAAAATTATTTGGAACAAAAATTAAATTACATAGACACATCTAACACTGAAACACTTGGTAAATTAAGATATCCTCCTTACCTATTTGCTGTCAAAATAAATATTTAGAAATAGAAAAGAAGCC